GCGGGAAGCCTGCTTCTCCCTCTCCCGCTCCCCCTGCTTGTGTTCCCTCTCTTGCTGTGTCTCTCTCTGTCAAATAAATAAAATCTTTAAAAAATAAATAAATAAAGTAAATGGGTACCCTCAAGATCCCTCCCCACCATTCCAGAAATCACTTGGGCATCCACAGGGGAGAGACACATTTGGTTTCAAAACTATACAAACTTGAAAAGGCTGATAATACACAATTAGAAAGGTAATTCAAAAGCGTGTTTTGAAAACAAAGAATCAGAATAAATAAGGTAAAATGAAATTGAAGGGAGAATTAGACATACATTTGAAAAGGAAAGGAAGGTACTGTCTGTTCAAAAGAACAAGAACTATAACATAAATCTGTAAGGAATTCATGGTTTAAGGGGCACCTGGGTGGCTCAGTCGGTTAAGTGTCTGCCTTTGGCTCAGGTCATGATCCCAGCATGCTGGGATCAAGCCCCATCAGGCTCCTTGCTCAGCAGGGAGCCTGCTTCTTCCTCTCCCCCTGCTTGTGCTCTCTCTGTCAAATAAATAAATAAAATCTTAAAAAAAAAATTCATGGTTTAAGGGAATAAAATATCTAGGATGCTTTCTGTTAGTTGGGCACTGTTTACAGGGTGAATTGCCCCCCCATATGTTGAAGTCTCAATCCTCAATACCTAAGAATGTCACTGTATTTGGAGATAAGGTCTTTAAAGGGGTGATTAAGTTAAAATGAAGTCATTAGGATGAGGCCCTAATCTAACATGAGTAGTGTCCTTACAGAAAGGGGAAGAGATGCCAGGAATGGTCATATATAGAGGCAGCCAGAGGGCAGCCACCTGCAAGCCAAGGAGAGAGTCCTCAGACGAGTATATACCAGCCGAAACCTTGATCTTGGACTTCCAGTCTCTAGAACTGTGAGAAAATAAATTTCTGTTATTTAAGTCACTGAGTGTCTGGTGTTTTGTTATGACAGCCCTGGCAAACTAATATAAGAATATAAAGTTCTGGGCGCCTGGGTGGCTCAGTTGGTTAAGCGACTGCCTTCGGCTCAGGTCATGATCCTGGAGTCCCAGGATCAAGTCCCGCATTGGGCTCCCTGCTCAGCAGTGAGTCTGTTTCTCCCTCTGACCCTCCTCCCTCTCATGTGCCCTTTCTCATTCTCTCTCTCTCAAATAAATA